TATATATATATATATATATATATATATATATATATATTGCTTTTTTGGTGTCTGGAATATAGTCCACTTATTTTATTATTTTAAAAAAACTTCTTCCTTTCATAAAAACAGCATAATTGTTCTTAAAAGAAAATCAGTGATTCTTTCTTTGTTTAACCTGCATACACAAATTTATATTTTGTGCAATGCAGAAACTTTCATCATATGTTCCTCTTTAGATGTTCATTTTAAAATTTGACTTCACATAACAATCATACTGATTGATTCACCTACCGTATATAAATAAATAATACCAATTTTAATTAGAACCTATCTCTGTATTCTTTAAAAATCTAAGTAATATAACTCTTAGAATGTTTTTGAAATAACATTACCAAGAAATATACAAAAATAGAAGCATGTTCTTGAGTGAAATATATCCTATATTTTTTTCCTAATAAAAAATACTTTAAAAACAATTTTCCATGCAGTTCTACAGACAGTATATGGATATTTATTTCTATTTAGGCAGAAAGAGGGTTTTTATTTTCCTGTGTTAAAACCTTGCAGGTTTATTAGAAACATGCTGTGCTCCTTACACAATTTGCTTTTATATGTGATTTTCTTGTTCAATAAATTAGTTCTAATAAAATTTTATGGCTGTATAATACAGTGCTCATCAGTTACTTTTAAAATGATGTAAAAATAAATATTAAAAGGGTAGTAGCAGTTAATATTCTGAAGTATTATTTTATTATAAATACATAATATTTCAGCTGTATGCTTGATTTTAGTTTATCATTTGATAACACATCCCGCTGTATTATTGCTTGTTTCATAGCATTCAATTGACAATTATAGGCTCTGATCATAGATACTTTTAAAAACCATTTTATTAAGTCTCATATATTCTAATCTTGTAAGAATGTTGAGTGTGAGCTCCTTATTATTTATAGGATTGGCTATTACTTTATTGTTCCTACAAATACTGTATTCTGTAGTATGGGTGAATGACACTTCTAAAGATGGTTAATATATTAAAATGATAGGATGATATTTGTATTCATAAAGAGAAAATATATATATATTAAAATATAGCAAAGATGAATGAGAATACCAGGAATGCCAAACAGAGCATTTTTTGTTATATATGAACGTTACTGAAAGTTCATTATAAAGTTATGTATTACCCAGTTTATCTAAAAGTATCTGGAACCTTTGGCCATAAAAAAATTCAATTAATAAGAGCAGTGTTCTACTTGAAGAATAGATTGACCCAACATTTTAAGTATCTTGCTAACAATCTTGCCTGGACTACTGTAACGCTCTGTAACACTCTCTACATGGGGCTGCCCTTGAAGAGCACCCGGAAGCTTCAACTGGTCCAGAATGCGGCTGTGCGGGTTATCATGGGGGCACCTAGGTGCCCCCATGTTACACCCCTTTTAGGCGGCCTGCACTGGTTGCTGGTTGTCTTCCGGGTGCGATTCCAGGTACTAATTATGACCTTTAAAGCGCTCCTTGGCTTAGGCCCAGGGTACCTGCGAGACCACCTACTGCCATCGGTAGCCTCCCATCGTCTAGTGCGATCCCACAGAGTTGGCTTCCTCAGGGTGCCATCGGCCAGACAGCATCGGCTAGTGACCCCTAGGGGGAGTGCCTTCTCTGTGGGAGCGCCTTCCTTCTGGAATGAGCTGCCCCCGGAGCTTCGCATAATCTCCGACCTCTGGTCCTTCCAGTGCGCCCTAAGAAGTTGGCTTTTCCAGCAAGCCGGCCTGGCCTAAACAAAATAAAATAAATTATTGATCACTGTTAATTTTAATTCGAATTTTTTTTAAAAAAAAAATGTCATTGTCAATTTTAATTGGGTTTGGGATATTCTATTTAATTTTTTTTAACTCTTGTATTATGTGTTTCTTTTAATGTTGTACGCCGCCCTGTGTCCTTGGGAGAAGGGCGGCATATAAATCTAATAAACCTAAACTTAAACCTAATACATTTTGCAGTCTGTTCGTAGAAAGTAATATTAAAAGAAAAAAAAAATCTTTCTGTTACGAGGAACACTAGGACAAGGAATACACAAACTTTCAAACTAATCTCAATCTACTCATTATTGGAAAGTGAGGGTTGAGTTGCTGAGATTTGGGCATTAGCAGTTTTCATGGATTTTACCAGTTCTGTTCTGGACTTTATGATACCGAATTTTCCTATATTGGGGAAAATAATGACTTCAAAAGGCAGTCAGCAGATCAGAATAGAAGTATATTGTCAGAATTATTTTTCTCTGTCACACTGATGCATATACATGTAAATAGGGAAAAATGGCTTTATTTGATACTATTTTCTCTTTAATGTCAGTCAGCCCTCTTATCCATTGTGTTGTGAACAATAAGCTTGAGATCTGTATTGTGTGGCTTGGAAGCCATATTGTTTGCAAAATTTTAATTTTGCAGCTGTATAATTGAACAATAAACCACAAAGATTCCTAAAGTTCAGACTGAATATTTATTAATCGAATTTATATTACTGCCCATGTCACAGAGAAAGTGACTCTGGGTGGTTATATAAATAAGTAAAAGTAAATAAAGTTTAATCTTTTTCTTACTATAGGCTCCAGAAGCATTTTTTTCCTCTGAACAGACTAGTTTTTCATTACCTATTTGAACTTTTTAAAGGTAGTGCTTTGTCTTATTTGATTTCATTCCTTATAGATTTTGGGAATAATTTTATAAATGGGCAGTTTTATTATTTATTGTATTATTTTTTATTATTTTTTTTTTATTTTTTTATTTTTTTAATTTAGTTTATTTATTTATTTATATACAGCTTAACCCAAACTCTGAGAGGCTCACAACTGAAGGATTAAAATAAAATACATATCTAAAATAAAATAAAAACAACAAACAAACAAAACTATATTTTCCATAACACGTTCATCCCATGTCCTTCTTATCGTATTACAATCAGAAGTGGTATCAGCCAGTTCTGACCCGTTCTGTTGAACTGGTAACAGAAATTTTGAGTAGTTCGGAGAACCGGCAAACACCACCTCTGGCTGGCTCTGCCCCCATATATTTACTGCCTCCTGAGTCCCAGCTGATTGGTTGGGTCTTCTGTTGCCCTGCACAGGAGAATGGAGCTGGAAAGCAGATTAGTGGGGTGGGGAGGGAATGGGGATTTTACAGCATCCTTGCGCTGGAATGAGGTGAAAATGGCGATTTTTCAGTATTCTTCCCCTGCCATTCCCACCAAGCTACACTATGCCCACAGAACCGCAGTTAAATTTTTTGAATCCCACCACTGATCACACTGCTTGTGAAAAGAGCCAGATTTTAAATGCATTACAAAAAGTTTAAATGATAGGGGTTAGTCTAAGTGATGTCATGGTTCATTCTATTTGAATACAGATCTGAATGAGTGTTTAATTGGCTCATCTTTATCATGCCTCTATCAATAATGATAAATTGGTATAAAATGGAACTTTCATAACAATCTGTTTTGAAGTAGTTTGTACTGCAATGGAATGAATCATTGTTTTCTTTGAACAATTTAACAAAAGACCAACAACTAATCCTCAGTTTATGACCACAATTGAGCCCAAAGTTTTCATTGCTAAGCCAGACAGTTGTTAAGTGAGTTTTATCCCACTTTACAACCTTTCTTGCCACAGTTGTTAAGTCATTAAGTTGTGGGGTTTGCCCTTCACAAAAGAGCAGGGGTAAATTTATTTTCCAAAGCACCAGAGGGCAGGACAAGAAACAGTGGATGGAAATTAATCAAGGAGAGAAGCAACAGTGAGTACAATTAACCAGTGGAACAACTTGCCATCAGAAGTTGTGGGCGTTTCATCACTGGAGGTTTTTAAGAAGAGACTGGTCAGGCTGAAATGGTATAGGACAGTGATGGTGAACCTCTTTTGGCTCGTGTGCCAAAAGTGGGGGGAGCGCAGGGGGGTCATGTGTGAGTATGCCACACCCATAATGTTATGTGCACGAGCCCAGCATGCATGCACACATGAGCAGCACTCCCTCTTATTTTTAACGTACTTTTTTCGCCCACCCCAAGCTCCAGAGTCTTTATAGGAGCCTGGGGAGAGCAAAAACAGTCTCCCCTGCCCACCCAAGGTCCTCCAGAGGCTTCAGGAGCTTCCTGAAGCCTCCAGAGAATGAAAAACCAGCCCTATGGGCAAACCAGATGTTTAGGAATGGTCTTCCGATCTGCTAGTAGGGTCATTTTTCGTCCTTGGGAGCCTTCAAGGGCCTTCAGGAGGCTTCCATGAAGGCTCTGGAGAGCTAAAAACGGCCCCACGAACAAACCGGAA